CGCAGTGCACATGTCCGAACTTGTGATATATAAAATTACATGTCCTGACTAATTCATCATCATCCAGAGCAAACCACTGAACCTAAAGAGGTGAAATTTGGTACACAGGGTACATCATGAAAATGCACACTAAGAAGGGATTTTTCAAAATTCCCCCGTGGGGTAGAGGGAGAGGATTAAGGCTTAACCTTAAGAACCTCTTCTACTGTACTATTTTAGATGCGGTTTTTTGTTTTTATACTAACAACTAATGTTGAGAATCTTAGTGAAGTATCGAAGGAGGGTTATTTCTATCAAATTGCAAATTCCGTACGGGCAAAGCCACGGGTAACAGCTACTCATTTATATTTTGATATTTTAGATTTAATTTCTTCATCAGTAGATGTAATCTGAACAGAGGTATTTCTGTTATTGCCAAAAGTATAAATTTTAAATATAATTTTTAAATAAATTTATTTGTATGAACTATAAAAGTACTATATATCCAAACTAAATAAGATTCTTCAGATTTAATTTTTTAACAGAAATATCTAAATTTTACTTTAATTTCAACTTCAAAAAAATTATTTACCTTTTATTAAAATTAAATGAAATATATTATATTATTTACTTAGCAAAATGAACATCAGAATATGTAACTTTTATGATTTATTTTATACACTTTAATTTTTAATTCAATTTATTGTATGAACTAACAAATGGCATTACATTTTTACATTTTTCTGTAATAAATAAGATGATATTGGACAACTTTTAAAGCCCTGTAGTACTTTTTTATAAAATGGACCCAGCTTATTAATTAAATTCAATAGAATTCATTGCTCTGAATATGAATAGGTTTAACAATGACATTAAATTATATGTCCAGATGTACTGGGTGAAAACAAAGTACTGGCTGACATTGTTAGCAGTGTAAATGTTTACTTAAAAAAAATGCTGAGAGGTTGTGAATAATAAAATGATTTTGCATATTTTACTTTATGATGTAATTTGTTTATTTTGTACACTTTGTATTAATACTTTATCCTCAGATAATGTAGCCATTTGTGTTTTAGATTTTCTGAATTATTAAATCAAAATAGGATGGAAGTTCATTTGATCTGAAAAGACAATTGAAATTATAATTATTACTTCTATCTTTTCAAAACAAACAATTATTAGAAGTAAAAAGAGATGTAATATTAGTGGAAAAAAATAATAAAACTGTAAACACGATAAAATTGTAGATGACTGCCTTATTTGAAAGATAAGTCCCAATGATAATATAAAGATAGCCAAAGTTTGAAAATTTTAAAAAATCCTAAAAAAACTAATGTTAATTAAATAGCTTGTGTATATTCATAATATTTTTTAACTTTAATGAAATAATATAAAATTATGTATACATTATGTGAATATATATTTCTTGAATGAAATACATATTTTATAATTGATATCTAAACATCATATAATTGAAATTCTAGTAGGTTCTGTGGAGTCGGAGTCATGGAGTTTTGGTGTTTTAGTCAGAGTCAGAGTCGTCAAAAAATCCGCTGACTCCCTTTTACTTACCAACTTGTTATGTATATGAAAGGGAGTTGGAGTCGGTAGATTTTTACATGACTCCACAGTCCTGAATTCTAGATAAGTATAGAAATTTCAACAATATTTATGGATGATTGAATAGAAAACTAATTGTCATTAAGAAATTTTGTCTGTATTGATGACAATTATACATAATCTACACCAGCATTAAGGCATGAATCCCCCTGATTTACCTCATGAAAAATTCTTTCCTGGAAGAAGCATGTTGACTGGTGATTGAAAAGTCCCAGTGTCTTTTACTTTTCCATCTGACTGAAAAGTACAACCTTTGAGTTTTTCCCACTCCCCAACTGTCCAAGGATGTGGAAGTCATAAGGGGAGAGAGGTCAGTACTATATAGAAGGGTAGTCAAGCTGTTCTCGATGCATGTTTTCAGTTTGGTCTTGGTGGTGATAGCTGAATGTTCATGGGTATTGTTGTGAAGTAGAATGACACCATGACCCAGTTTACTAGAATATCTTAATTGTTTTGAGCAAGCAATCAAGTGTTAATGGTTAACCTGCCTGCTGAAATACCACTAGTAATAGTCCTTCAGGACCAAAAAAGAATGTCGGCATAACCTTCTTTGACCGACAGTTGACTTTTCACTCTTTTTGCACCAGGTAACTCTGAATGTCTCCACTGTAGACTCAATATTTGGGATTCTGGCTCACATTGATGATACCATGTTTCTTCATCAACTACAGTTCTGCATAGAAATTAGTTTCCTTCATGGTGATAATGTTGCATGTTCTGTATCAACAAATCCTTCTGTACTGCCTTTTGATCTGTACTTGGTTCTTGTAGAACCCATTGTAAGCAAATCTTATTGAATCTGAGATCATAAACAATGGAGTAATGTTGCTCAGCATTAAAAATAGTAAACAAAAATGTTTCGAGGCTAGAATTTTTAAGTTACAAACCACTGTGCGTCGTAGAACGTGTTATGGCTTTTCTTAATCACCGCAACACGTAGTGGTCAAATATCATGAAAGCCACGACGCGAATTTCGCGTTGTGGATGATTTAAAGTGTATGGTAGGCTCAAAGAACGAAAACGCTCATTGAGCGAAAAAAACGTACACAACGCGTTGTGATCACTTTATATAGAGAACTACATTTCCATTTATATTTATATCAATTTTTAAATACTGTATTACAAATGTTGATATCAATTTAAAGCTTTTTAACACGTAGAGAATTTCGAAATTCACAGTAGAATGTAAAAACAATACTTTGCCTAAATTCAACAATAACGCTTGAATATGACATCTGTTCAAGATTTTTTAATCTATGATAAATTATAAGTTCTGAAAAATTTGCTTTAAACATACCAAACAAATTTTTGGAAAAATTTAAAAGTTATTCAGTTGTGAAGTTTCGTTTGAGGGCAATATATTATTGCAGACAGGAAACATATAAAACGAGTAAAAATACAAATTTTTTTTTATTCATCAAACACAGGTTCTTTAAAATGATTCCAACTTACAGGCTATTGGGTTCGTATACATATAATAATCGTCTACACAAATAAGCCTCTATTGTGGCAACCGATACACGACTTATAGCTAAACTTAACCAAGGCCACTTGATCGCTTCGCTAGTGAAGCGATCAAGTGGCCTTGACTTAACCTACTTACAAACTAAGGAAGGAGAAATAAAATATAGATAGGGATAGTAGTAGAATAAAGGAGAAAATACCCGGGAGTTTTCTGCCACGTGGTCTCGGATGATTCACCGTCTTGAAATTCTTAATGACTGCAGACCTTATTTTCTTTCCTCTTATGAACGTCTACGTTTTCTGAAGTTGTCTTGTGGTCTTCCCGCTTGCCGTTACTTGAACATGGGGGAACTCGATTTCTTTAGCAATTGCCCTACGTTCCTCTATAATTCAGCCGTCTTACAAGGTTCCGATACCTCTGATCTCTCACTATGCGATCAGGGTATGATCCTCCTTCGGTTTTCTATCGCAAGGTTTCTTACTTCTTGCTCGACCCCTCGGTCAGGACCACACTCGTTTTCGTCCTCTCTCGACGAAATCGCAGCCACTTCTCCTTTCTTTCACCTCGCCTCCTCTCCAGGGGGTTATTGCTCCTTTTGTCTTCTTGACATTGTTTCACAGAATCGGTGATATCACCCGAGGGAATAGGGATTAAGGGAGAAAGTTCTAGAACAGTTAAGACAAAAGAACAGAGGAGATACTAAGCCTAACTAAAATTAACAAAAATATATATAAAACTATGGCCGACGGCCACACAGTTTTAATGTGCATATATGTATGTTTTCTTCCTTGAAATTTGCCTAATACTGTAGTTTTTTTTTACAGGATAGCAGCGCCAAATTTCTCACTAATAGCTGAATTTTAAAATCAAATTTTTTCTCAAAAATTTAAACCACATTATCAAGAGGGTATGTATACCAAATTTTGTTGATATTTGTCGAATAGTTATTTCTACAGAGTGTTCTGAACAACTACTACTAATTATATGATCACCATTTATTTTAGCGTATGTGCTTTTTAAACTAAGGCCCAGAAGCGTACTGGCCCATCGGGGATTAGAGAAGTTTCCCTAGAAGCACTTTCTATTGACCCTAATGGGGCAGGCTGCTATATAGCCGAGTGGTTATAGTGTCAGCCTACCGTTCTGGGGGACCTGGAAATTAATACAAACTGGTCAAAAATCCCGAAGAATGCTTCAGGGTGGTCCCTCATGGATAAGTCGGGCCTTAGCTTCTCATTGTAGGACTGGCCAAACCTAAGATAGGCATAAAAAAGGCGCTTTCTTAGTGCCCACAGAACGGAAAAAGTACAAAAAATAAAACCCCCAATGCGTAAAAAGTAATTGTAAATATCGTTCAGCATATAAGAAAAGACTATAATTTTTCCATCAGTAGAAAAAGAAAGAATTGATACTGTTCTATATTATTTTTATCTTTTTAAAATTCTTTCCAACTAGTGGAAAGAATTTAAAAAAGAATTACTAAAACAAAGACCCTAAGAAAGCCTTTGTTTTAGTATGCCCTTTAGGGTTGATCAAGACCATAATTTTTTGGGAGGTGGTTCGTTCGGATACGTCATGGTAAAACACCGCAACATATCCGAACGGACCAACCCCAAAAAATTTCTAGAGTTTTTCGATCTTCTCCCGTTCCCTCAGAACGATGGGATGCCACTCTATCCGCTCGGCCATTCGGTCGCTAGATACTGTCCTATGTAGAAAAATTAAAATTTCTCTTTGTTTTACATTCAATTAACACGTTTTCTCTACCGATGACAATATTTTTATAATTAGAATTTTAATAACAAATATTAAAATATTTCAGACAATGAAATAGATCGAATAAATTATATTAAGCAAATAAGTAAAATTTTTATATAGTTTGTTTTATTTTAAATGTAATATAAAATCATTGGTAATCGTTTATTTATCTTGGATTACTGTTAGACTTTTACAGCAAAATTAAAAATAAGAATTCCTTTGGAAACAAAATTAGAAATGTTGGAAAGTAATCCGAAAACGATGCATTACACTAGATTGAGTCAGCCAGTAGTCACTTGGTGTCTGCTTATGGACGGAAGTACAAGCAGAAATCACGTAAGTACGAATTAACTTATCAGTTTAGCGTATTAAATCAAATTTAACTGGCATTTTTCCGTTTGACATTTTTAAAATTATACTTATCGATAGATTTTCTATCATTATAATATAGTTTACAAACAATTAATACAATTTATAATTTTAATTTTGTTTTTATAAAGTACTTGTATACTGTGTCATGTCAAGAAATTGATTTAGAAGGGATCTTACATCAGATGTTTTTTATTTCTGTAGAAGATGAAATTATATTTTAATAGTAATTTGATTAATACTTTTGGAAGATGCAGTATATACATTTTTGAGACAAAATATTTATTTTTAATGAATAGTAAATTAAAAGTTTTCTGAATGAGAAATGAATTAATTCAATGATTTTATTTTAAACAGTTAGTTACTATCTGATAAATTTTATAATAATTTATCCGATATTTACTATCACTACTTTGATATACAGTGATACCTTGGTTTTTGTCGATAATTCGTCCAAAAACAATCAGCAAATCCGAAACTGATGAAAACCGAGGCAATTATTTCCATATGAATCAATGTTAATCCAATTAATTCATTCTAGACACTCCAAAATAAACATACCAAAAATACATTTTATAGAGAATGAATATAGTGTTGTAATACTAAAAACAATAAGAAATTAATATAAAATGAATATAAAATACTAATGTAAAGAATAAATGAACATTTAACATGGCATTTGAAGGGCTGCTGGCTCTGGAAACTTTCATTTGTCCCATGATGGAGCTAAAAGGAAAAAAGGAATGGAATTGTTTGGCTTTTTTTAAACTCTCTCTGCCTTGTGGGTACTAAGAAGGTCTCTTTTAGCAAGCCCATTATGGATTCGGCCAGGGCAGCCGGGTGATGATGGACAGGCCCAACATATCTGGATGGACCACTTCACAAAAAATTCCTAGGGATTTTTTTCCCCTTCTGCATTCGATCCTGGATCCTCCAGAGCGGTAGGCTGCCACCTTGACTGCTCAACCATCCTGCTATCATAGAGGAATTGTTTGGCTAGACACACGGAGTAATGTTCACACAACAAGAAACAAGGCCAAACTGAGCAGAAAAACACATGGGTCACCCTTTGTTTTCGCAAACTTAGCAATGAGGTCACATGGGCAAGCCAACAAAATTTGAGGCAACCAACGAAAAATGAGGCAAATTTTTTGTGAAAAAAAATTTGAAGAAAACTGAAACTGAAGATAACCAAAGTCAACAAAAATCGAAGTATTACTGTATCAGTATACTGATATAAAAATAAAACTAATTAAACTAAATGTAACTGCATATAAAATACAGTATGTTCTTGTAAGAGATATATCGATATTTGGTTAATCTTTCGTGGGTAAAGCGCAGCATTGAATAAGGAGAAACTGATTTGAGTTTTTATGATTATGAGGACTCTCGGTGCAAAGTTTTCAGCATTTAAAAGACTGTTAAACTTTTCAGTGACTTCATACTGAGGATCCTAATTATAAAAATAATTGAAGTTCATTCCTCCTTACTTGGCAGCATACTTCACCTGTTAAAGAATGAATAAACACCATTATAATATTAAAAGATACTATAAAATGAATGGAGACTTATAATTCTTCTTCTTTGATTCAGATAAATCTATATCTTGAAAGAACTATATCTTGTTGTTATTTTTATTTTTTATTAATGAAATTACTTTTAGCACACAGCAAATATAATACTTTTGATAGAATAAGATATACAAGTATTTTAAAATAAATTGTTATTGTTGAGACTAGTAAATATATATATATAATATTTACTTAGAGTAATTAAGTAAGAAAAATTAATAATGTACACAACAAAGTGTCAAAAGTGTTAATCTATTCTAAATAAGTACTTCTAAGCATAAAGTTTTAATGATATATTTTATATATTTCATGTTTGAAGAGTAGTATAATTTTCTTAAAATTGCTGTCTGTTAACATAGAAGATTACTAAAATTTATTCTTAATATCACAATAAGGTACCAAAAATCTATACTAATATTATAAAGAGATAAAGTTTGTAAGTTTGAATGTAGGAGGTAATCTCTGAAACTACTCATCTGATTTCAAAAATTCTTTCACCAATATTTAGAATGGACCTTCAGGGTGGATATAGGCTGTATATTATTCCGTTAAACATTCATATAAATTAAAAGATATCATCTAGGTAAGCGTTATATTTTTGGTGTCAGTGGGTGGTGAGGGGCAAGATGCATACGTATATGAGATAGGTAACTGTGCGGCACAGTCGCATGGTCAGCGAGGTACGCAGTGCACATGTCCGAACTTGTGATATATAAAATTACATGTCCTGACTAATTCATCATCATCCAGAGCAAACCACTGAACCTAAAGAGGTGAAATTTGGTACACAGGGTACATCATGAAAATGCACACTAAGAAGGGATTTTTCAAAATTCCCCCGTGGGGTAGAGGGAGAGGATTAAGGCTTAACCTTAAGAACCTCTTCTACTGTACTATTTTAGATGCGGTTTTTTGTTTTTATACTAACAACTAATGTTGAGAATCTTAGTGAAGTATCGAAGGAGGGTTATTTCTATCAAATTGCAAATTCCGNTTTTTTTTTTTTATAGATTTAAAGTTTAACAAACGCTTTACTAGTCTATGTAAATTTAATAATGTTGTTTTAAATATTTTGAAAGGTAATTAAAATCAAGTTAGTTAATATTGGAATATTTCCAGAAAATCTTTAATTTTTAAAAGAAAAAAATGGTTTAAATTATTTTACTCTTTGACAACATAAAGCTTTTTTGTTAACGTCTCTGTTTTAAATACATACAAAATAACCTCCAAACAACGGCCCTTTTTCTTATTTACTCTTCGGTGGCCTTCGTTCAGAGGTTTGTCTGTATCTAATATAAATTTTCCCCACGTTTATTTTTATTTTTATTGACTTATAAATAAGCTTTAACTTCTATAAGATCGCTTTTATTTAAGCGATTTCTAACAAAAATCCTAGCAAAAAATAAAATTTTAATTTTTAATTCAATTTATTGTATGAACTAACAAATGGCATTACATTTTTACATTTTTCTGTAATAAATAAGATGATATTGGACAACTTTTAAAGCCCTGTAGTACTTTTTTATAAAATGGACCCAGCTTATTAATTAAATTCAATAGAATTCATTGCTCTGAATATGAATAGGTTTAACAATGACATTAAATTATGTGTCCAGATGTACTGGGTGAAAACAAAGTACTGGCTGACATTGTTAGCAGTGTAAATGTTTACTTAAAAAAAATGCTGAGAGGTTGTGAATAATAAAATGATTTTGCATATTTTACTTTATGATGTAATTTGTTTATTTTGTACACTTTGTATTAATACTTTATCCTCAGATAATGTAGCCATTTGTGTTTTAGATTTTCTGAATTATTAAATCAAAATAGGATGGAAGTTCATTTGATCTGAAAAGACAATTGAAATTATAATTATTACTTCTATCTTTTCAAAACAAACAATTATTAGAAGTAAAAAGAGATGTAATATTAGTGGAAAAAAATAATAAAACTGTAAACGCGATAAAATTGTAGATGACTGCCTTATTTGAAAGATAAGTCCCAATGATAATATAAAGATAGCCAAAGTTTGAAAATTTTAAAAAATCCTAAAAAAACTAATGTTAATTAAATAGCTTGTGTATATTCATAATATTTTTTAACTTTAATGAAATAATATAAAATTATGTATACATTATGTGAATATATATTTCTTGAATGAAATACATATTTTATAATTGATATCTAAACATCATATAATTGAAATTCTAGTAGGTTCTGTGGAGTCGGAGTCATGGAGTTTTGGTGTTTTAGTCAGAGTCAGAGTCGTCAAAAAATCCGCTGACTCCCTTTTACTTACCAACTTGTTATGTATATGAAAGGGAGTTGGAGTCGGTAGATTTTTACATGACTCCACAGTCCTGAATTCTAGATAAGTATAGAAATTTCAACAATATTTATGGATGATTGAATAGAAAACTAATTGTCATTAAGAAATTTTGTCTGTATTGATGACAATTATACATAATCTACACCAGCATTAAGGCATGAATCCCCCTGATTTACCTCATGAAAAATTCTTTCCTGGAAGAAGCATGTTGACTGGTGATTGAAAAGTCCCAGTGTCTTTTACTTTTCCATCTGACTGAAAAGTACAACCTTTGAGTTTTTCCCACTCCCCAACTGTCCAAGGATGTGGAAGTCATAAGGGGAGAGAGGTCAGTACTATATAGAAGGGTAGTCAAGCTGTTCTCGATGCATGTTTTCAGTTTGGTCTTGGTGGTGATAGCTGTATGTTCATGGGTATTGTTGTGAAGTAGAATGACACCATGACCCAGTTTACTAGAATATCTTAATTGTTTTGAGCAAGCAATCAAGTGTTAATGGTTAACCTGCCTGCTGAAATACCACTAGTAATAGTCCTTCAGGACCAAAAAAGAATGTCGGCATAACCTTCTTTGACCGACAGTTGACTTTTCACTCTTTTTGCACCAGGTAACTCTGAATGTCTCCACTGTAGACTCAATATTTGGGATTCTGGCTCACATTGATGATACCATGTTTCTTCATCAACTACAGTTCTGCATAGAAATTAGTTTCCTTCATGGTGATAATGTTGCATGTTCTGTATCAACAAATCCTTCTGTACTGCCTTTTGATCTGTACTTGGTTCTTGTAGAACCCATTGTAAGCAAATCTTATTGAATCTGAGATCATAAACAATGGAGTAAACCAATCCAATGCTGATAACTAATTGCATTGCAGTGAACTTTAATGCTCACACAACAGTTTTCTTGTATCAGTTCAAAATTTATGTTCATTTTTGCTGTTGTTGCAGGTCCAGGCTGTGGCTTATTGTCTGCCAATCCAGAACTCTGTTGTAATCTGTTATTGTTGTCATCAAAATACATGCATCATCATATATGACTTGCATTCAGCAATAAATCTCAACAGGCT